TGTAACAGAAAGAATAGGGTGGCAGGTGGACACTTCAGAGACTCTGTGGCTGTGGGTTTCCAGAGGGGAGAGTGTGTCAGAGCATCACAGGTTTTGGGTCAGCGTTTTGATGTCCGCACCACTTTGAGTGGGGCTCCTAGACAGGATGGCAGCTGTCAGCAGCAGCACAGGACTCACAGGTGCAGGACATTTCTCCGACCTCATCTTTCTGGCTCTTGAAGCTGCTCTTTTTGGCCCGAGAGGCCATCATTATGCCCAAGAAGGCTAAACCTGGGTAGGTGAGGTTCAGAAATCTGGGACTTGCTGCCCGCCTTACTGGGGCTGGACTAACAGGTTGCATTGCTATCCCGTCCCTCAAAGACCTCGTGAGGCATAGATTTCTGTTTTCCCACTTTACTGGTAGGAAGCCTCTGATCTGCGTGCTTGTCTCCACAGAGCAGGCATGCCCATGCCCCTCTCCAGTGTCTCCACAGAGCAGGCATGCCCACGCCCCCTCCAGTGTCTCCACTCTTTACATCCCTTATGTGGTGCCGCTGAAGGAGGCTGCATTCTGTCAAGAACATGATCTTCAAGTCAAGTGAACACTAAGTTCAGGTTTCTCCTTCCCACTAGCTATGCGACCTCCTTCTAACAGCAGTGCCTGTACCTGTGGTGTGCGGCTGTTTATTGTACTGTCTCAGACAGTTATCGTAAGGGTCAAATAAAACAGTGTCTGGCCAGGTCAGCACTGGGCCACTCAGACTTGATGGCCCTTACCTGAGTCAGCAGGATCACTATTAGTTTCCGCCTTAAATTTTTATTTGAACTTTTGCTGTAGGCTTCATTTTGGTCCAAGCCTTGACCCTTCTCCCACTTGGACCTTTCTTTTGCTGTGACAACATAAAGAAGCATAACATACAGCAATGTAAAGAAGAGAGGATTTATGTATTTTTGTTTATGGTTCCAGAAGAGAGAATCCATCCTGGTGGGGAAACTGGATGAGAACATTTCATCTGCTTGCAGGAGAGATAGTTAGATAGACAGACAGACAGGCAGATGATAGATAGATAGATAGATAGATAGATAGATAGATAGATAGATGATATATAGAATACAGAGAGATAGAGATAATAGAGATAGAATGAGATGATAGAGACAGAGATAGACATATACAGAGATAGAATAGAGATAGATATATTGGTGATAGAGATGTAGAGTTAGAGAAAGCTAGAGATAGAGGTGATAGAGAATAAAGACATATATACAGGAGGAGCTAGGAAGTGGGGCCAGTCTATAATCCCTCAAACTCTCCACACCCACCACCCCAGTGACATAGTTCCTCTGTTGAGGCTGAAGTTCCTAAAGGTCTCATACTCTTCCTAAATGGAGCCATCAACTAAAGATCAAGTGTTCAAATATACGGGGAACATGTCTCATTCAACACACACCAGATTTCGACTTCCACAGGCAGTAAAGTCCGCTTGTTCCTGATGATTTGGGGATGCTGGCCATGAGGTAAGGATGCCACGGAGCACCCCAGTGCTGCACATCTTGACCCGTCCTCCCAAGTCCTCCCTGTGTCATTATTCTGCTTCCCGGGTCCCTTTGTTGGTCCCAGTTGGAGTCACCAAAGGGAGGCGCCTATTTCATTATCCTCCACTCCAGCCCCGTAGCCCATGGTCTTGAATCTAAGCAGAAACATGGGGCAGCTGCAGCATCCAGGGAATCAGGCAGAGGTGGGGTCATCGTCTACTCATTCCGGCTCTCTTGATCCTTAGGTGTCTTAAACACAAGCGCCATGCTGGCAGTAAGGTCTCACAGTGAAGCCACCCCGGGGCTCAGCCCCAGGGACTGGCCTCTGTGGAACCACAGAAGAGCAGCCGATGCTGCATTGTGGGCTGTAGATCGGTCAGGTGCCACAGAGCTAGGAAGAGTGTGGGTTTCCAAGGCTAGCAGCAAGTCGGTCAGGTACCCATGGGCTTCTGGGACAAGCAGCATTGCAGTGAGCTGGATGGAGTGAGGGAAGGTAACCTAGGGACGGCGGGGAGTATGTTTTCAGGTGGCGAGTGGACAGCACGGGCAGCGTTTTGGAAGTTAAGCAGATTTTGTCCTGTTTCAGTAAAAGATAAAACCAAAGCATTCACTCCTGCCTGGAAGGAAGCCTACGGGCTGGAGTGTGACTGTAGTGAGCTAGCGGGGGCCTGCAGGGACCGGGCCCTAGGGGCTCTGTTAGCAGGGCTAGCCACTCTGGGTTTTACTCTTTAGATGGTTACTGTTGGAGCCTGTGGAGAAGAGCTGGCAGTGCTTGTGGGAGGCAGGGAGGCCCTAGAAGCTGGGCAGAGGACCTCCAGTGTTCTGTGGCTGGTATGTGTGCCATCTGTGGTGGCCCTGACTTTCCCTCTGTTACCTTTGCTCTGATTGAATTAGTGTTTGGCCTATTTCCTTTGTCCTATTGAGGGCTAAATTATAACCATCGAGGATGCTCTTTAAAAAAATCCCATGCTGGGTGACGTCATGATAAACTTGGTCCCCTAGTCAGCCTCTCCAGGGTAGGATAGAAATCGGCTTGAATGAGTATTCTGCATCATGTGCATGTAGTACTAGCAGTGGCCAGAAGAGGGCATTGGCTTCTCCTGGAACTGGAGTTGTAGGCTATGAGCTGTTCATGTGGGAGCTGGGAACCAAACTTAGGTCCTTTGCAAGAGCAGCAAGTGCTCCTGAATGCCAAGCCACCCCTCCAGTGGAAGCATGTTCCTAGAGGCCTGGTAGTCAGGAGTGGGGAGCTATCAGGAATCTGTGATACCCGGACAAGACTGAGTCTCGAGCCAGTTAGCCTTTGTGCTTTCTGGGGTGTGATGTTTTCATGCTCCAAGACAGCAAGGGCTTTGTTTGGTGTGTCGGTGGCACAGGGACTTTCAGGGACCCTTCATCTGCATTCAGTATGCGAATCACTGACTACATAGGAATTTTGCCCATCGCAGCCTGGTCTCTGTGTTAGGAGACAGTAAATCATAATTGAAACATCTTAGGGTGTGTATGCTGTGAAGTAGAGAGCAGTCCAGCGTCATAATTCTGTCTCTTTCTGCTAGACAGCTCTGTTCTCTAGATGAGGGTCACTGGACCTTAGAGGGGGGGCGTGATCTTTAGAGGTAGACCCGCAACTCATGTTTCCAGGTCACACTGAATTGTTTTCTTCATGCTGGAGACTAGTAAAAGAGCCCACATTGAAAATATTTTGTCATTATTTTCCATTATAATTGGTCTCCATTCCGTCAAGTCTAGCGAGAAGTCACATCATAGAAATTTTAAACAAGCCATTTCCATAGGCCCTGCTGGTCCCTACATCCCTGGGGTAGCTCACTGATGTAAAGTTCTAGAAGCAGGCATGAGAGCATTTGCCTGTGGCTTGTTATTTCTGGATGCCCGCCATGCTGGGTACGGTGATCATGGTAAGGCTCTAAGAGCATCTTCAAGGTAGGTACCAGTGATCTCATTTCATGGAGAAGGAACATGACTCAGAGAGGCCAGCATATGTTACAAGGCCACTCAGCTAAGACTTGCTGGAGCAGGAACTCAAACCCACACCCGGTTCAAAGCCTGCCCTAGCTCCTGCTACCTTTGAGTACATGGTACTGATTTCTCTCTTCCCTGGATATTGACAAGACTGCCTTTCATTAGCTCAGACAACCTGGCAGCCTTGCTGGGGAGGACAAGGTTCTGGGTGGCATTGGTCTTGCCCTGTGGTTCAATTTGAGTGTATACCAAGGACCCTTTTCATCATTTGCATCAGCAGAATGTAGCACGAATTCTAATTGGTCTTACTAATAAAGACCTGGAGTCAGATATTAGGGGGTGAAAGCTGAAAGATCAGAGAAGCAGAGAAGACAGTCACTACTTCTTACCCCTATGAAATGCTGGGATCGAATGGGGTATCCTGTCTCTACAATCCTCAGACTGAATGCCCTCAGTTCCTCTCTCCTCCTGCCTTATATTCCTCTCTCCACCCAGCCATATTCCTTCCTGTCTGCACCTTCCTAGTGTCGGAATTAAAGACATGTGATTCCTAAATACTGGGATTAAAGGTGTAAGCCATCACCACCTGGTTCTGTTTCTCTTTTAGACTGGAGCAATCTTGTGTAACCAGGGTGGCCTTGACCTCACAGAGGTCTGTCTGCCTCTGCTGGGATTAAAGGTGTGTGCCACCAACTGCCTGGCCTCTATGGCTAACTAGTGGTTTAGTTCTGTACTCTGATCTTCAGGCAAGCTTTATTTGTTAGATTACAAACAAGATATCACCACAGCAGAAGAACATAAGAACGGATATAGAACACAGTTGGGAGAAGGAAGAACACACACACTTCCCTTTTCTGTTTGGGCAAATAATACCTTGGCACCCCAGTCTGAATGGCTCAATAGAGACATTCAGTCCCTGAGAAGGGAGAGCTCATTAAGGCAGTGGCAACTCTAATTGGCAGGGAAGCAGGGGTGGGGAGGTGGGGGAGTGTGGGAGGAAGATGAGTCAATCCTACTCACCTCATGTATTTCCCAAGGTCCATGACCCTATGTTTGAAGTCCCCTCCAGCAGTGCTGGAGCTTCAGGGCAAATGATGCCTTTTTGGAAATTCAGAAGCTCTGTTGTTCTTGGCCTTTGTTGTTGTCTTGGGATGTTTATTGATTGGGCTGCTGTTGCAGGCAATGAGTCATTTGACATTCCTGCAGATGGGAACAGTGGGTGAGTGTCTGGGTTTCATCAGAGTTCTGCTAATTCTCCTGCAGTGTGCACAGATAACTGAGACATGCCCCCACCTCCCAGTCATTACCTTTTTACCTAAGCCTTTCCCCGTGGGCTCTGTGGGTGATGGACCTTAGCAAAGGTGTGATGGTAGGCGGCTTAAAATAACTGGCTATGACCTTTATAGTGTTTTGAAATTTTGATGCATTTATCAAAAATGTGTACATTCCTTCTCATTGTTTGATGTGATTCTTTTATTTTTTCCCATTCATTATGCTTTCGGACTCAGGAAGTTGAGGTAGGTTTTGCTTTCAAACGTATGTAGACATAGTATCAAAATAGTTGCAAAATAAAATGTAAATTGTATCTCAGATCTTTAATCTCATGTTAAATATTTGCTTGTATTCAGCCAACCAGGAATATAGACGCTTGTTTCTCATGGGTATATGTGAGGGATGTAATTTATCAAATGTATATAAACAGTCCATTGACTGTGTTATTTTTTCTCATTAGTTACACTACAAGTACGATTGTCAGTTATTATCTGTATTTTACTGGTGGGTTATTTATTGAAAGAGCGGAGAAACCCACATTGTTATTTTCTAAATCATTCTGTCTAAAGCCTGCAGGACTTTACACCAAATGTCAGACCAATTTATCAAAGAATAGCTCTATTCAGGGTGAAAGTGATTTAGAGTTTGTATACAAACATCCACCCACCTGTGTCTACACATACCTAATAGTTATGGGAATTTCTCAGGGGCTGCAGTGCTCTTAAAGCTAGATCGGCCGTCTTATATATGAAGCGATTTATCAAGACTTTATCATGTGCTGTTGAGTGATGCCCCAGGGAATAGGCAGGTAAGACTACCCCAGCTCAGACGTCACCTATGCCCAGGCATGTGTGTATGTGTTGTAGGGGCAGAGCCTACATGCACACTGAAATGTGGTCCAGCACACAGCTCCTGTCCCTGGTCAACCCAAGCCCCATGAGTGATGTTTAAGATGGTTCAATTCTCCATCCAATCTAGACTGGGTGATCAGTTGACCATCTCATTCAGGGTCCCCATGGGGACTATTCCTTGGTGCTGGTAGGGGCAGGCTTGGCAGAGGATAGATACACCAAGAGCATGTTGCTGGTTTAAAGATGTAACAGAACACAGCTCAGGGGTGAGGTGGCTGCATGGGGGGCTATATCATTTCCCAGCAGAGGAGTGACTTTGTATCATATAGTGGGTTGACTAGCAGGCATTATCCCTGTGCATAGGGAAGTGTCCAGTTGCACAATAGACAGCCTTACAAAAGCCTGGTCTAGAACTTACTTCTATTAGCCAGTTTAGAGAAACCTCTAACCCCAACAACCTACCTCCTTGCTACTCTACCCAGTCAATTGGCGTGAAAGGGGGGTGACCTGGTTTGTGTTGAGTCACCTTCAGAACATCTGACTCCCGTCCTTCATGGGTCTTTTCACGGGTGTGTGCTCAGCAAAGCCAGCCTCCCTCTGAGAAGCTAGTAACTCAGAAATGCTATGTTCCTAGGACAGAGAGACACCTTTGTCTGTTGATTGACAGTGGCCCTGCAGAAGACCCTGCACGGACTGTTTTGCCCTCTCTGTACCTTGCTTCCTCTGCTCACGGCTTCCTGGTTCACCCCTGGTCCAGATAAATGAGGCCCTCATTTACGTTCCAGGCTGGTAATTTGTATTGTCTCAGGTGATCTTCAGATGGATCTGCAGGGTTCAAACAGTTTAGCTAAAATATGTATGAGGGAGAAATTATCTGTTTCATGTGCACTCAGTGTCTTTGATCTGTGGCATCTGAAGCTGTTGTCTGTAATAAATTACCCCTCATCTTCATCTCCAGAGCCACGGCACTTGGGTGCTTTTGATTGACTCTGCCCCCAGCTTTTCCTTGGAGTTGGCTTTAACAGTCTTTGTAGCTGAAATGGGAAATCCCTGGAGAATATTGGGGCTAAATTGCATCAGCCATTTTGGGGCTGTACTACAAGGGAAGAGAAATCATGTTCAATTGTGCTATAGGACACACCCATCCACGGTGAGGGGACTCGATTGCTCAGAGTCTGCAGAAGTTCGGCGTCATTTCATATTAGGCCGACTGCAGGACTTCTTTAGCAGATTCGCAGGAGAATGGCAAGGCTCTTGTCCCATGTAAACATCTGTACAGGACTGGCTTCAGGGCCCCAAGAACCCCAAATCTGTGAATGTCCACATCTCCGAAATAAACTGCACAGTGTTTGCCTAGAACCTGCTCACGTCCCCTCCACCACCTACTTTACGTCACCCCTGGATGTAAATGCTTTGCAATAGACCAAACAGTTTGGGGAATAATTGTAAGAAAGTTGATGGTGTTCAGTGCAAATGCAGGTGTTTCTCAAAGACTTTTGATACCTGGTTGACTCTGTCGAAGTGGCTCCTAAGATATAGAGAGCTGACTGTACTTATGGGTATCGTCATATACATTATGACTTGTGAATACACACACATTTGTCATTAGATTTTATGATATGTACCATGGGAATGAATATAAATACACACATGCATGCGCTTATAAACAACTTTATATATATTTGTGTAAGTGTGTGTGCATAGGTGTGGATTCATTTGTGTGTATGTATATGTACAGACTTTCTTTTTACAGGTGCTGACCAGAACAGAATATCTCTAACACAGTTAAAAATTCAGTTAATTCCTTTGCAGCAGCTGTCACCAGCCATTCATGTTATGGTGCCCAGTGCTGTGTTTCTGGGGATATTTAGCTAATGAGGTGAATGTTTAAATGTGATTTTTGTCTCTGTTGATATGATAGCATGGTGCTATAGTACTACCAGGTCTCTGGTTCTTCGTCTGCTCTGAGCACCAGCTGTCCTTTCCTTCCTCCATCTTAGACATAAAACAACCGATTTGCTCTCTGACGGCCAGGCTGGCTTTTCAGTGTGTATACTGCCCTGAAACACTTCACGATGTCAGTCATCAGTCAGTTTATTCATGCTTGAGCCTCTGCTTAGACTGGTGGGTTCTTGGAGATTCCTAAGTAATGAGAGTTGGGTAGGTCCCTTATGGAATACCACGGAAAAATAGAATTTGCCTTTCATCCTAAGAATTGCTTAACTCCAGCTCAAGGCTGTGTCCCTCCCTGTTCAGAAGCCAACTCTCTTAGACCCTGCAGGGTAGACCACTAACTACGGACCCACACGGCCATTCTTGTTGCTCAGTGTGCACGATAAATTAATGAGAGTTATTGAATTTAATAAATGACTGTATTTCAACGTTTACTTTTCCAGTTAGGCTTATGTCTGAAAATTAACCTGTTTCTGGGTCCTTGCAAGTTCCTTTAAAGAATTCTATCATTAGGTGACCACATTTCTAGTCAAAAGGCCAAATCAGACAGACTAACCTGGCAAGTGCCCATTCATCCAACAGCCTCAACCCTGTCTGAATTTGAATAGGTATCAACTTTCCTGGGCTAGAACAATGGTCAGAGACAAGGTTCTCATGGTCCAGGTCTCAGCTGGCATTGCAACTGGCCTCTGAAGTCCTGGGAGCAGGGATGGGCTGTCACACAGTGCAGCACTGGGGTGGCGTGGGACCAGGCACCCTGCTGCCAGATGAGTCTGCTACAAATGACGCAGCCCCTGCATTTTCATTAAGACAGAAGATAAAAGTCTGGCTTGCTCAAAGTGTCTTGAGCCTCAGGGGAGAGACCAGCCCTGGTATTGGTGGAGTGACAGTTTGGGACCATAGCTAGCTGTCCTTAAGTTTCTTAAGGATGCCAATGGTTAGTTAGGTGGAACTTGAGGATGAGCAGATTCCCAGGTGATGTCTCTAAGTGGCTTTCTTCACCCCTGGCTTTTTGTTACCTTGGAGATCTCAACTTTTCTCGTAGAGTGAGCCAACTGACGCAGCTGAGCAGTGTGGGCATCTCTGAGGGCACCTGTGCATGTTAGAATAGTGATCCCTCATGCCCTGACACATCATACTCTGACCCTGGCAGAAGACCCTCTCCCCGCTGCCCCGTGCCCATTTCCCTGATGAGCTTTGTTACATCGCGTACTTCACAGTGCTCATGACCTTGGCCTCTGGTGGAGGGTTTTCCACCAGCTACACTGAAATTCACAATAGCCCAAGCTTTGTGAGCTCCCAACTCCTTTGCCTGTGTTTTGGTGATCTTCTTTCCTCTAGAAGAGAGAAAGCAATCAGACGCAGGGCGTAGTTCCCCATCCCACTTGGCCTGCCTGGGTGAGAGGCCATTTGAAGGATTTATTTTCCATCATGAGTTTTCATTCAAGGTGTGCTTATACATTTGCAGTGATTAGGTAGTATTATTACATTTGCAGCGGATTTTAAATATCCCAAGGCAGATACCAGCTTTTAGAGGCTTTATATTTAAAACCATGCTTTTCCTCCTGAAAAAAAAACTGTGAAAACAGCAATTAGAGTTAACCTGCAAAGCGACAAGGTCCATAAGAATGCTTCACATCCCAGCCGGGTCCTCAAGCGTACTGAATCATTAGGGAGTATTCTCTTCTCGGGACCTGCTTAAGCCTTTCTTGGACATCAAAGAGAATGTAACGTGTGAAGTTAAAGCAAGGAAACTTACCTTAGGCTCCAGCCCTTCCCTTGGACACACATCCTCTGCTTTCAGAGCTCCCATGGATTAGGAGAGCACAGCCAAGTGAAAAGATTTCCGAAGAGCCTCAGTGCCCTTGAACTTGCTGACGTCCCCTTTGCATGAGAAGGGGGCATTGGTGGGCAGCCTGGACAGTTTGTTATCTTTGTCCTCTGGTGATGAGACCATTCCTTTTGGGGTGTCTCTTGCCTTGCTCTTGTGAACAAAAGATTCTTCTGGTAACAGGATTGTCTAAGGCAAAGAGGGTATTGAGCATCACACAGAAACATCCCTTTACCCAAGACCACTTAGCACTGGCTCATCAGCTTTTAGATAGCACAGTGCCCCGAATTTGGATTGCATTTAAAATAATAAGTGTGTGTGGGGGGGTGGATGTTGCAGGTAGATTATTCTAGACTTTCTCAATAATTGCTCATGGGATAGATCTCAAGTCACATGATTATGACAGTCATGTCGTAAAATTAAAACTGGAGCAAAGTGGACCAGCTCCTTAAAGTTAAAAAGTGGTTAGTGCTGAGTCTCCGGGATCCAGGGGAGGCTGTTTGTGTTTGTTCACACCCTGTAAAATGGAATCACTAGCCATGGAGCATTATGTTCTGATTTAACTCTAAATCCAGTTTCCTAAAATTTTTGTGGGCTTGAGTGGCCTCAACAAGAATCTCGTATTAAGCCAGGTAACTGATTGAGGAGGAGACCAATGACATCCACGGGAGATCGTGTGGGAGCTGAGCTGCATCATAGGACAGTGAGGGCAAAATTAAACTAATCGTGCACTTTGATGTAAATTAACTTCTCCAGAAGGGAAGTTGAGGGCTTGTTTCAGACAGCCATTTGGAGGTATCTGTGATGGGTGGAGTACCTACCCCAAACCACACAGCTAACAGACTATCAGCTGGAAAGGGCAAATGCCCTAGAGGTGATGTGGTGTGAGACTGAACAGTCTAGCCTTGCTGGTTTGCAAACTGTGGGTGTTCTGGGCAGGGTGAGGCCAAGGATGATTGTTTAGAAGGGAGAGGGTTGCTAGAAGTGAGGAGAGGTTAACAGAACCCTGAAGAACTGAGTGATGTAGTTTCTTGCAGTTTCAAAGTAATGAAGAACCCACCTTGCCAGGTGCTTGATGCAGACTGCACGCAAGAGTGACGTGGCTGTGGTTGGAGCTGAATGGACTCCATGCCCAAAACTAAAGACTTTACGCTAAGCACCCCGGGGGTGTTCTAACGTTTGAATGGTCCTCTGGTTTTAGGCTCTGTAAGTGTTGAGGAACTGGAAATGTACACCTCAAGTTATATGTCTCCATGTAAAAGAAATGCTGACAGTTAAATTATCAGCTGTTACAAATACAGGGGCTTAATCGTAAGTGAGAGCCGCCCAGGCATCACCTACAGTACAGCTGATAGCAGATACACCTCACACGTAGGAGATGGCTGGGCGGATATGTCAAACCAACACGAGCAGAGCTGTTTCCATGCCAGGCTGAGATGTTTCTATAGCTCCCTGTGTTTAGTATGTACAATTTGAAAGGCGAGAATTGGAGAAGTAAATTGACATTTTTTAATTGCATTCTCATGCTTTTTGGGGGGAAGATTTGTGAGCGGTGAGGGTTCTCCTTTGTGTTTTGGGAAGCTGGACGAGGCAGTTTTTCTGCAGGGAAAGGCCTCTGATGTCTGACCTTCATTTCTACCTTTCTTTCCTAGGATGACTATTTCAGAAACTGGAATCCCAACAAGCCCTTCGACCAAGGTAAAGGATGCATCATGGGAAATACCAACACATTCTCTCTTCCTTGCATGCAGAGTTGAGTCTCTCTCTCTCTCTCTCTCTCTCTCTCTCTCTCTCTCTCTCAGAAGCTACCTTGCTTTCTTATTTTATTGACTTTGGATCCTGAACTAAGTGGGGGTGGTAGAAATTTTTTTATCCACTTGGGTATTTGTCAGAGGTTATTTGTAGACACATTTACACAATTTTTAAAACTTGAGTCAGCTAGTGAAATTATTGATTGATTTTGTTTAAAAAAATAGCAGAGTGATTATCAAGCTTGTGAATCGTGGGGCTGGCTATACCCTGACGTTTTACTCATAGAATGTAATATGCTGAAAGATGTTCCCCCATTGAATGAGGGAAAAAAGAAAAATTCTGGGAGATTTTGGATACTTGAAATTGTTTGTTAAATGCGCCCCTGTATGGTTTTTATTTAAAAGACAATTTATGTATTGTATGTATATTCCTGTGTACACAGATATATACATGTGTGAGGGTCAGAGACAACTTTCAGAATTTGGACTCCCCCTTCCCCCATGTGGGATTCAGTATCACAGTTCACTGGGCATGGTGGGAAGTGACTTACCCCCTGAGCCATCTGACCAAACTTCATGGTGTCTAGTGAGAAGCTTTTGCTATGTCCACTCACAGACAGGCTGTTGTCCTTGAGTCCTTCCCATCTGTCCCAGCAGATGTGGAACTGTTTCCATGGGGGCAGATAGAAGTCACTATGTCCTTGTGTGACACAGTGAGGGCTGTCCTATTCCTGCTGTCCCTTGAGTGGCAGCTTTCAGCACTGACATCACTGCTGAAATGATGCTAAATTGTGCTGTGGATATATGTGTGCCATTAAGCCTGAAACTCAGAGGCGATACCATCTACCATGCATGTTTCCCAGTGCTCATGATTCTGAGTATTGGCTTCTGTCAGTCACTTGCCCTGGACGCCGCTTTTTCTCATCAGGAGAACCGACGTTCAGGTTTTCATGTGTGTTTATCCCAAACCTTAAAGCAATGCATGATTTTGTTTATGCAGTCCCACATGCCTTTATCCATCCATTCATGTGCCTACCCTGGAAAATTTATGGTGCTCTCGCTGTCTGCACAAATGCAAAGCCAAAAATCCAAACAGAGAGCAAATGAAGCATGGTTAGTGCCCACCTGAGATGTGAGGAGAGAGCATGGTCATGATTTCCATGGGATGTGTTAATGACCGCAATGCAGGAGTGTGCAGGGAAGAGTGTCTGGCTGTGTAGAGGACTGTGCAGGGGGATTGTGGGTCTGTATATTTGAGGGAAGGAGGAAGGGTGTGTGCAGAGACCTTTCCTTTGGAGGCTTTGCCTGGGATGCACTCAATCACCCCAACAATTCACAGTAGCATATATAGAGGTATTAGTCATTTATGCTAAGCATTTCCTTAACTCAAGTGTTCTTAGAAGACTAAACCTTCACTTATGAAGAATACTCGTGATGCAGAGTGGCACATCCCCGGCTTGTGTATTATGGGTGAGTCTGTCCAAAGACATCTGCTTCAGGCTCTTGGTTGTGACAACGGCTCAGCTGTGGGGTACCCTGAGCTGCTGCTTCATGCTGAGATGCATACATACTCCTCCTAGGATCCCTGTAACCACCAGGCTAACTTCCTTCCAGGGCATTCAGACAAATGAATATTCCATGAAGGGAGGACACACGAGAGAAGGGACTGTATGAAGGCAAGTGCTGTTTGCCATCTGGATATATAAATGATTGCTCCCCTTGTTCTGATGGTCACACAGGGATTTTTGAGTCCCAAGGAAAACATAGCATTTAAGCCCACTTAGGAGAAAAATCCTGACAAGGGTTTTGCCACTGTTCTGAGTGGAGCCCTGCTCTGCTTGGAAACTTAGGTCTGCTGATGCTTAGATCTCTCCAAATCTCATGATGTTTAAGCGTACAGCGGAGAGTCCTTCCTGGTCCCTCTGTGTGACTGCTGTGGTCATGTAGAGACACAGCCGTGGGAGAGCAGCGAGCAGAGGGTAGCCTTCGCTTACAGTATTAGCTCCAGCAGATGTCGTTAAGTACACTGTGTGCAGCTTAGTAGAGATGGGTGGTTACTGGTGGCGCTGACACACACGGTGAAATAAAAGCCACAGGCAGAGATGACGTCGGGCATCTCATCCTTGGGAAAGCAGGGGAATCACTGAACTCCGGAGGACTTGTCAGCAACACGAAGTCATTTCCATTCTGTCCTGATTTGCTCTCTGATACTGTGATCAAACATCACATGATCAAAATCAACTTGGGGAGGAAAGGGTTTATTTGGCTTACACTTCCACATCACTGTTCATTACTGAAGGAAGCCAGGACAAGGACACAAGCAGGAACCTGGAGGCAGGAACTGACAGAAACCATGGAGGAATGTTGCTTACTAGCTGAATCCTCCTGGCTTGCTCAGTCTGCTTTTTGTATGGCCGAGGACCACCAGCCTAGTGACAGTACCACCCACAGTGGACTGGGCCTCCATGGAAATAATTAATCAAGAAAATGTTCCACAGACATGCCCAAAGGCCAATCTGATGGAGGCAATTCCTTAGCAAGAATCCTTCTTCCCAGGCAACTTTAGTCTGTGTTGAATTGATAAAAATGAACCAGATACTATCCTGATCTAAATACAAGGCTGAGGAGGTGGCCCCGTGGGTATAGTGTCTGCTGTTTGGATGTGGAAGATGGCCACGTGGGTACAGTGTGTGCTGTGTCGATGTGGGGAGGTGGCCCCATGGGTATAGTGTGTGTTGTGTGGATTTGGGGAGTGGCCCCGTGGGTATAGTGCCTGCTGTATGATGTGGGGGCTTGATTCTGGACTCTCAGAACCTACAGGTGCAGTTGCAAACCTACAGTCCCTGTGCTCCTGGAGTGAGATGAGAGCCAGGGGCAGGACAGTCATCAGAAGCTTGTGGGCCAGCTAGCCTGCACACACAGGGGCAGAGAAGACACGCTTCCTCAAGGAAAGTGGACTGCAAAGATCAACACGGAGGTTGCCCTTTGACCTCACATGCCCACTGTGTCATGTACATACCAGTACATATATGCATACATGTACATGCATACACATACATGCACACCCCCACATACACACACAATGGAGGTTACAGGGGGAGAAAGAAAAAGGAGATGATCTCAAAAGAAGGTTTATACGATGTTTATTTGGCACAGAAGGAAGTTTTTGGAAACACTCATTTTGTTAAAGCCACCTAATATTTAATAATGGTCATAGAAACAGAACAAAGGAAGGCCTCTCTGATGAGACATCCTTGGTCATATAGATGTGGAGCGTGTGAGCACTGACTGATGGGCACATGCCATGGGTGTGAGCAGGGTGAGATTTGGCTCATCGATCCGTAAGCTGGTACATGCTTACACAGATGACAAGGCTCCATCATGGTTATTGTGACTTTCTTTAGCCTCAGCTTGGCCTCATACAGGCTGTGGTTTTGGTCAAGCTCGCTCCCCATGGCTGCATACTCGATCTTGCTGATATCAGTTACCTCCAGTGTGGTGTCAGGAGTACCCCGTTCTCTTTCCCACCTGATGGAATGGGCTTGATGAGGACAGTTGTCCATAGAGTCCAGAGGAGAAAGAACAAGATGATCTGGGAAGTACAAAACTGTCATTAGGAAAACAAGAGTGTGACTGGGCTGGGGTGGTGCACAACTTTAATCCCAGCTCTTGGGAGGCAGAGGCAGGCAGAGCTCTGTGAGTTCAAGGTCAGTCTGGTCTACAAGAGTTAGTTCCATTCCAGGATAACTAGGGCTGTTACACAGAGAAACCCTATCTCACACACACACACAAAAAAAGTCAACCCCCCCCCAAAAAAAAAGAAAAAGAAAAGAAGAAAGAAAGAAAATGAAAAAAGAAAATAAAAAGTGTGGCTTTGGGGTCCACAGAATTTGGGTTGAAAAGCTATGAAGCAAATTCTAATGAGTTATTTCAAAGGCTCCCAATTGTCCTTTTATAAAAGGAACACTGAAGTTTATAAAAGGAACACTGAAGTTGGTTTGCAGTGTTGCTTATGAAGAAGCTGGATTGCTGCTATTATATGGGGATGAGGAAGGTTTTGTGTGTGTGTGATTGCTTACATTGTTATGTTTAGAATGTAATTCTGATGACTTGAAGATGTCGCAGAGTGATAGAGCACAGATGGATTTAGACCTCTGCTGTAGATGTGGTTCACTCAGGAACGAGCCGGGTGATCTACGTGGGTACAAAGTCCCAGCTGAAGAAACAAACTGCGTTAGGAGGGATGGCCGTGAGACTCATCAGGGGACTTGTCAGGGGCAAGTGGACTTCTGTCTAGAGAAAGCTGTGGGTGTTTCAGGACAGCACATGACCGTTGGCTTTGAGAATGCTGCCCCTTTGGCAGTGAGTGCATCATTCTGGTCTAGCAACCCAGCAGGGGCTTCCCCTCAGCCTATGCAGGTGACTTCAGGACAAAGCATGCAGGAACAGGTCTTCAGATGTAAAAGAAGCCCCGTCCACCTGCTGTCAACTCAAATGACAGGAAAGAAGAAATCCCTGGGACTTTGACTTCACAGGTTATCCCAGCATCCCAACAAGCTCAAATCCTGAGGCATCACAGAACCATTCGAGGGGAAATTTTCCAACTGAGAGGAGAGAATGATTCCCATGCTCCAGCTGCCTTCGGGGTCCCAGAGCTCTGTGAGGGCTACAGCATGCTATGTCGCTGGGCTGAAAGAGGCATGGGGACAAGATGGCTCACTGATGAAGTTGGTGGACCTCTTCCACTTAGATGAATCTGCAAGTTTTACATTCTGGATGAGCTAGAGATGTAAGTCTCTGTAGTCGTCTTCTTGGCATAGAAGAGGTTCCACAGAGCCTCTGATTTGCATTCATTTAACTTTGAAAAACAATTTTTAAGGCTTCATTCACCTTCTCTGAGCCTGGGAACTGCTATATTTCAGAGGCAGCTGACCTGGTTTGTGGGAG